GATTGAGATGTGGTTACTGTGGAAACCACGTGAGTACAGTGACGTCACTCATGTCCAAGAAACCAGTCTGGGATGATCTGATATCTAAATACCACAGAGATGCACCACAGATAATAAATCAATATTCTGTCTTACATTGTTTGTTATGGACAATAAACAGCTCAGGAGCTGCTGCTGAAATGATGTTTCATCCTTAATTTAAATACATCATCACTGTGATTGTTTAAATATTTGATTCATGATCATTTCCCCTCCGTGACTGTTAAGTTTGGAGAAATCAGTGTGATTGTAAACAAGTGTCACTATTTCAATTATCACACCCTCCCAACAAAGAGGAACAATGTGTGCTTGGAGATGAGAGAAGAGAAAAGGAACAGACTGCCCATGAAATAATCGCTGTGCAGAAAAATATCTTAGAGCTTTATGTGACCTTGTATCTAATCCATGTGTCTGAAAGTGCTATGAAACTATGCTGGGAATGGTTCAAACAAGCTGACAGGACTGCTCCTCAGCGTCCTCTCAGATTATCACAAATTTGCTTCTTCTTGCAAGAATAAAAGAAAAAGCTTTTTCAGCACATCAATCAGGGTCTCCATTGACTTTGTTTTTATTAAAGTAGTGTCACCTTTGGATTTATCTGACATTCCAGTCCCTCAAGCCAGAACCTACATCCCAGCCCTTTGCCAAAAATAAGGAACCTGCAAATTATGGGAGGCCTTGGAACCATTGCTGGATACCTTATTACTCCCATTGACCACAAATTCAAAAGACCTCTCCGACAACATTTGTGTTATCTGAATCTTATCCAATAAATTTACCAGGAAAATGTTTGATGATAAAATCAGACTTAAGTGTAATTCCAAGTGCAAAGGGAAAGCGAGCCATCAGGTTAGCGAAAGAGAAGCTTGCTTGTTAAGTGGGCAGGGAACTTCTGCAACCTGATCCTCAATAACTTCTGATCTTTGCAGAAAAAGACGTAATTATGACAGTTAAGACAACTTAGCAACAACTATCAGAACTACATTGTGCCTTATATTATAAACACAGATACCTGACCTGATTTGCATGATGATCAACAGATCAAAATGGGAAGCAAGCCACACACAAAGAGATGACGTCTGATGCACTGGGAACTACTTTGAGATAACAGCCACATTTAACTGTAGAGAGCCTTATTGAGCCACGGGCCATGCCTAAACAAACAGGAGGGATGGTACAAGGTTAGAAAGACTTCTGTTTATAATTTAGCTACATATTAATGAAAAAGCTTAAACAGTAGTATATAGAAAAGATAACAAAGACAACTTTTTATCATTTGAGGAACATCAGCCAAAATTATCAAGTTTTGTCAAGCGACACTGCAGAGGTTCTTGTCCATGCATTTGTGTCCTCACGTATTGATTATTATAATGCTCTTCTTTCTGGGCTACCAAAGAAAAGTTTCAGAGGTCTACAGATGGTGCAAAATGCAGCTGCTTGCATTTTAACAAGAACTGGGACATTTGAGCACATTACCATGTACTGAGATCTCGTCACTGGCTACCTCGTCAGGTTTGAGCAGATTTTAAGGTCCTGCTGCTCACCTACAAGGCTTTAAACAGATTGGCACCTCCATACCTGTCCGACCTTTTACACCTTTATGTTCCCCCCCGTGCGCTCCGATCTCAGGACTCTGGCCTTCTAAAGGTTCCTAGAGCCAGAACAAAGACAATTGGAGAGCTTTTTCTTTTCATGCCCCGTTTCTGTGGAACAACCTCCCTCAAGGTATTAGGCAGACTGCTCTGTGGAGGTTTTTAAAACTAAGTTGAAGACAGGTTTGTTCACCCTATCTTACAGGTCTTAATTCTTTGCCTTTTAGTTTTTAAATTCTTACTGTTTTTAACTTTTAAGGTATTGTGGTTTTACTTGTACTGAATAAATCTATTTTATTTATTCATCTTTTTACTTTCAAATAGCTGTACAGCACTTTGTTTGAAGGCACTTTATAAATAAAGTTATTATTATTAGTATTATTATTATATAAACAATATCAAGAAGATCAAAATACACGAGTGTAAAGGGTAATAATACCTCACATGGAAAGCCATGAACTATGGAGGAAACGTGGAGCACACAGCGTGAGGACACGTATGACAACAATGTGAGAAAGAACAGAGGAAGACTGAAGACGTAAATACACACATGAGGTAAGAGTGGAAACACATGGGGAACACAGCTGAACAGAACAAAAGAACCAAGGCTAGCAAAGCAGAACATCACACACGAGACGAAGGACCACAAACGGCTGGGAAAAAGGATCACAAAGGGAATCAACTTAATATTACTCTGAAGATTAACCAGAAGCCAAACAGACTGCATGTCCTAGAACACATCGCACACACAGATTTCTCAGAACTTCATGAACTCTTGTTTAAGTGCGTCTGTTTCACCCCCTGCTGCGCAAGAGGAACAATGTGTTTTAAGACACGAGAGACGACAAAGGAACAGACTGACCGTGAAATAATTGCCGTGCAGAGAAATATTGTTGACTTGTATGTGACCCTGTATCTAAACCATGTGTCTGAAAGTACTATGAGGAAAAGCTGAAGGGCCTGGCTCTCATCTTCCTCTCATTCTTGAAAGGTAACATTTATGTACTTGCAGTTTCCCACAGTCTTTTCTTATGAACATGTATAATGTTCTTTTATTATGTGCATGTCTTTATTGTTATGTTTTCTCTGCACAGCTCTGTTGGACAAAAAGACGGTTTGGAGCCATGGTGCGCTGTCCATGTCTTAACTGATCATTCAAACACATTTTCAGCGTTTTTATGGAGAACTTTTCATTTTGATAAATTACCACCCACTGCATTTACAGTATAATACTTGTAATAAAAGTACAGTAACAGTAATTAGTGACTGAGCAGCCCGGGGCGTTTCTTTTGATTTCTTTAGTAAAT